TAACTATAGTTATCAATGTTATGGTAATTATAGGGTTAGCATTGTGTATATATTATATTGTTTTCAATTCTTTAATGAGAATTAAGCCGTGAGTTCATACAAATTCTACATGGTATCGGAGCCTAGTTTAATTTTTTTAAATTTTTTTTAAACAATTTTTTTTCACTGAACCATGGTGGACAACAGCAATCCACCAACACCAGATAATGAGTGCAATAGTAGTCGAGGTCCATTGCGGGCCAATGCTACATCGGTCAATGGTCTTAGTTTGAGTTCGACTGGCCAGTTGTTTCTAAGTGAACAATGGCAAACAATTACAAGTTTGGTGGATAATACCAAAATTTTCGAAAATCGTTTGAATAATAAGTTTGATGATACATCTTGGATTATTGATACAAGAGCCATGCATCATGTTACAGGAGAAAAATCTTAGCCTTTTGACACAAAGAGCTTTGAATGTCCAGTAGGGTTACCAAACGGTGAAACAGTGTTGACTCCTCTTATTGGTTTTGTTCGTTTGTCGGACAAAATTATTCTAACTGGGTGCTCTATGTCCTTAATTTGAGTTGTAATTTACTTTCTGTTTCACAACTTAATAATGAGCTTAATTGTATTGTCCAATTTAACTCTTATATGCGTGCTATACGGGATCAAACGAAGGAGTTGACTGGAACGGGAGCTAGGAAGGACGGATTGTACTATTTTAGCAAATCGAATTCCGTGCATCATGTGGGTGCTATTGGCGCAAGGTCGAATTTGGAGCTATGACATCGTCGTATGGGTCATCCTTTCGAGAAAGCAGTTAAGTTGCTTCTTACTGTTAATTGCGAAGATAGTCTTGATAAGGGGTGTGAACTATGTATGTGTGCTAAACATCCTAGAGATAGTTTTCCTTTGAGTGATAACATAGCGTCTAGAATATTTGAGAAAGTTCATTGTGATTTATGGGGTCCATATCGTCATGTTTCGTCGTGCGGAGCTTGTTATTGTTAGACAATTGTTGATGATTATTCTAGAGCAGTATGAATATACTTGTTGATTGATAAAAATGAGGTGTTTCGTATGTTTTTGATGTTTGTTTCTATGGTAGAAAGACAATTTTCCCAAACAATCAAAGTTGTGCAAAGTGACAACGGGAGCTAGGAAGGACGGATTGTACTATTTTAGCAAATCGAATTCCGTGCATCATGTGGGTGCTATTGGCGCAAGGTCGAATTTGGAGCTATGGCATCGTCGTATGGGTCATCCTTTCGAGAAAGCAGTTAAGTTGCTTCTTACTGTTAATTGCGAAGATAGTCTTGATAAGGGGTGTGAACTATGTATGTGTGCTAAACATCCTAGAGATAGTTTTCCTTTGAGTGATAACAAAGCGTCTAGAATATTTGAGAAAGTTCATTGTGATTTATGGGGTCCATATCGTCATGTTTCGTCGTGCGGAGCTTGTTATTGTTAGACAATTGTTGATGATTATTCTAGAGCAGTATGAATATACTTGTTGATTGATAAAAATGAGGTGTTTCGTATGTTTTTGATGTTTGTTTCTATGGTAGAAAGACACTTTTCCCAAACAATCAAAGTTGTGCAAAGTGACAATGGTACTGAGTTTAATTGTTTGCTTGATTTTTTTGCTGCAACTGAGATTATTTTTCAAACCTCTTGTGTGGGTACACCACAAAAAAACGGGAGGGTTGAGAGAAAACATAAACACATTTTGGAAGTAGGGAGAGCTTTGAGATTTCAAGCCAAATTGCCGATATATTTTTTGGGTGAGCGTGTACTTGCTGCAGCTCATTTAATTAACTGAACTCCTACTCCTTTGCTTCACAACAAAACTCCCTTCGAAATTCTTTTTAATAAACCACCTTTATTTGATGTTATTCGTACTTTTGAGTGTCTATGTTTCGCTCATAATAAGAAAACCAATGGAGATAAATTTGCAAATAGGAGTCGAAAATGTGTTTTTGTGGGTTATCCGTTTGGGAAGAAAGGATGGAGACTATATGACCTTGATTCCAAAGTTTTCTTTGTTTCCCAAGATGTTAAATTTGTTGAAGATGTGTTCCCGTTTGTGTAGGGAATATTTCAACACTCAACTTTGAACCCACTGTGATCATGCACTCAAGCATGGTGGCGTCCAAAGGGAAAGAAGCTAGAGCAAAAGAGTCGGCAACAAGTTTTTGGAACTTGTAAACCGTTCACGAGTATGAAGTTTACACCCCATTCACGATCATGGAGATCGCTAACTACATAGTGGTCTGGAACCATGACTGGAAATTTGGGGATGATGGTACGAATCCAACCTAAAAGAGATTGAACCCGCCCTAAATCGGCCTCTACTTAATCCTTATGATATTCATGTGTGCTTTCCAATCAACATACACACAATAAGTTAGCCCTAAACCTGTTTAATCTATATTGGTTGATTATTAATGCACAAATAAATCTATTATTGGCGATCACTTGAATTAAAATCATATTAGCCTAAAACAAATTAATAATTATCTTATTAGGCATGACTCAAGTACGAATTCCCCTTAAAACCTGCAAGAAGAGGCGTGATCAAGCAATAACAATAAATCAAGCAACATAATTATAATTGACACAACAAATCATCATCATCAAAATAAAGCAATATCCCCAAAATAATATTAGCAAGATCCTAGGCATGATACTAAATAGATTAATAACAAACCCTAGCATGTCACTAAATAAAAAAGAATCAAAGCTTTAGCCTAAACATGATACTAGAAAGCATGATATTAGGAATATTAAAATAACACCCTAAACATGATACTAGGAATCATAAAAGCATCCTAACATGATACTAGGAATTAAAATAATATTCTAAGCATGATTTCTATATCAAAAGCAAGGAATAAAGATAGTAGATCTACTTACTTTGACGCTTCGTATCTCTTTCTATCAAAACAATACACGCGTTAGTAACTTCAAGAAAGATTAAATCAAACAAATAAATCAAATAATGATAAAAATACAGATTTAGCACCAAACCCTCAGAAATATCAACCTTTCACTTCGAGGTCGAAGACAACTTTGAGAACGGCTTGGAGTATTCAAGACTCGTGAAGGACATATGGTGTTGGGATGTGTTTAGGCTAAAGCTAAGAAAGAGAGAGAGAAAAGCTTATAGCTTAGAGAGGGAAAGAGATGATTGTTGGTGATCAAACTTGTTGATGATTGAAAACGGGGGAAAACGTCCCTATATTTAGGAAAAAATGAGGGAAAAGATCAGAAAAGGAGTCAGAATCCGACTCGGAGTAAAACGCCTTCCATCGCGTAACGATGGTTACATCGCGGCGCGATGCTTATATTGCTGCATGATATTAGCATCGCTATGCGATATTTCCATCACTGCGCGATGCTTTTCAAAAGATAAGATTTGTACGAAATCCAACTTTCAATCAAATTGGGTTAGTCGAATATCCGTATTTTTCCTTATTTTATCAGAATTAAATCTATTAAATACAAGTGTTTTATTTGATATAAAATTCTTATATTTAATCTTTTCAAAAACAGGATAAATTATAATCTTTCTAGAAGATAATAATCAATCCTAAGGGATTTAGGACTCAAAACAACCTTCTAGATAATTCTAAAAACTTATGACAAATTCTAATGGTTTTAGAAATACAATTAAGATAAATGGACCCTCCACATGATCATTGGGTCCGCGGATAAGGCTCAGTTTGGACCCAATTTAGTATTTGGTCATAACTTCTTCGTTATAACTTGAATTTGGGCTTATAATACATTGTTGGAAAGCTCTTTTCAAGCCCCATCCAACTACACAATTATTGGACCCAGATTATGGACCAAAATAAACTGTTTTGGACCGTTTTATAAAAAGGACACGAAAATAATGATTTTAAGGACACAAAATGAATTACTTTAGGCTAAAACATTTAAAGAAAGGTTAAAAATGGTCAAGACTAAAGGGAAATTCACGAGACTCTTCAACTCTTCACCTAAATCGATAATCAAAGACGTGAAAGGTACTCATCACGGGGTTTGGTTTTTGGGGAGACACAATCAAGTGTCTACAGTTTTTTTGCCCGAAAGATGTTAATATTGGGTCACGCGTTTATGAGTCAAATGGTGATGTTCATGATGATTTTGCTGCTTATGAAGATTTTGATGGGATGGTGTATGATAATGATGGTGAGCACAACAAAACTAATTTGGGCACTAATGGTGATCATGGTGTTGTGAATATTGGGGATAATGGGGCTGTCCTAGATTCCGCGGGCTCAGGAGCTACATCCTAGTAGCAAGCCCGAGCAACTGCCTCCCCGCAGGGGGAACTTGCGGGCGCAGGATCAGAAATGCAGCAAGCTGCGGGCGCAGGTGAAGAGCACAACAGCTTGCTGATACTGCCGAGGCTAGTAGCCTAGCACAGCAGCAACAACTAGCTGGTGCCGATAAGACCAACAGTTCCAGTTAGCAGCAGGCCACGGCTCACCCTCCCATAGGTTGTGGTCTCCGTGATAAAGCTTCGGGATTATGTGACTTGCTCAGTTTTTGCTAAAAATCCGTCTCCCTCCACTCCATCTTCCAATTCTCCTTCAGGTACTCCTTATCCTTTCACACATTATATAAATCGTGACAAATTTTTTGTGAATTATCGTAAATTTCTTGCAGCAATTGTAAGTGGAAAGGATCCAAAATCATTTAAAGAGGCCATGAAACATGAAGGTTGGCATAAGTCTATGCAAGAAGAAATGAACGCATTAGAAGACAATGGGACTTGGACTTTAGAGCGTCTTCTCCCAGGTAAACGTGCTCTAGGGAGTCAATGGGTATATAAGACAAAGTTTCTGTCGAATGGTGATATTGAACGCCTCAAGTCTTGGTTAGTTGTTTTTGGGAATCATCAGCAATAAGGCATAGATTATGGTGAAACGTTTGCTCCAGTTGCAAAAATGACTACAGTTCAAGCTTTTCTTGCAATTGCGGTCTCTAAAAACTAGAAACTTCATCAAATGGCTGCACTTGGTAGTTTCAAAGCTTATCTGTGTGATTGTTTCAAAATGAAGGACTTTGGTCCTTTGAAGTATTTCTTGGGCATAGAAGTTGCTCGTAGTTCTTCAGGTCTATTTTTGTGCCAACGGAAGTATACTTTGGATATTATTTCTAAAGTAGGTTTGTTAGGGGAAAAACCGAGTGGTTTTCCCATTGAGCAAAACCACAAGCTCGGCCTTGCTACAGGTGAGCTTCTTGCGGATCCGGAGAGTTATCGTAGGCTAGTTGGCCGTTTGATCTACTTTGCGGTCACTAGACTTGATTTTGTGTACCCAGTTCATATCTTGTCTCAGTTTGTGCAAGAGCCTCGCAGTGAACATTGGGAAGCAGCTCTACGCGTTGTTCGTTATTTGAAAGGTACCTCGGATCAAGGTATTTTGTTGAGTGCTGACAGTGATCTAACCTTGCAAGGTTGGTGTGATTCAGATTGGGCGGCTTGTCCTCTTACTCGTCGTTCTTTGACAAGTTGGTTGGTGTTTCTTGGGCATTCGCCAATTTCTTGGAAGACTAAGAAGCAACACACTGTATCGAAATCTTTGGCTAAGGTTGAATATCGGTCTATGGAAACCATCACTTGTGAGTTAAAGTGGCTTAAGGCCTTGTTGTTGAGCTTGGGTGTGCAACATCCAAAGGCAATCAAGTTGTTTTGTGATAGTGAGTTTGCTTTGCACATTGCAAAGAATCCGGTTTTTCATGAAAGAACCAAACACATTGAGGTTGATTGTCATTTCGTTCGAGATGCAATTAATAAAGGCTTAATTTCTCCATCATACGTTTCTACTCCTTCCCAATTGGCTGACGTCTTCACGAAGGCTCTTGGGAAGTTGGGAAGTCTCAGTTTGATTATCTTCTCTCCAAGTTGGGCATTTTTAACACCCATGCTCCAACTTGGGGGGGGGTATTGAGGATAAATTTTGTGGGAACATTTGGTAGTTATTTGGGGTTATCTTTTATATTGTTTCCTAATCTCTAGTTACCAATGTTATGGTAATTCTAGGGTTAGCATTGTGTATATATAATGTGAATTAAGCCGTGAGTTGATCATACAAATTCTACACTTGGACTCATGCCTTTGTTTCATCACTGATCGACAGAGTCAAACTATTGTGATTTTCTTTGTAAATTGTAACAATTGCATCCAAAGTTATTTACCCCACTTTCATAGTTTTATATGTGCGACAATGAGGGATAGCTCAAGTGGTTAGAGCCTTCCTCCTGATTCCAGGAGATTCTGGGACCGAATCACACCCCGCCCTAGTGGCTCTCTAAACACCCAAAAAAAAAAAGTTTTATATGTGCTATTATATGAGAATCAAAATCATGGCTGAGCTTATATTACGTAAAGTTCTAGAGTGGTATTCAAGATTATGGACCAAATTTAGTACGAGTATATATCTATCACTACATAACCTTTATGTAACAGGTTGGCAACAACGAATATACTAAGGGGTCGTTTGGTTTGCATAGGGTAAACGGAGTGGAATGAATAAATTAAAGGGAATGAAAATCTCTCAAATTAGTGTGTTGTTTGTTTTAAAAATCAAAGGGAATCAGATCCACCACATCACCACCACCACTACACAAATTTATTTTAGTAATCCAACCTCCCCCCTTACCCCAGCAACCCAACCACCCAACTTTTGAAATCCGGCCACCCAACCTAGCGGCGAGCTCACGGAGAAGAGGGGTTTTGGGGTTGTTGGTGGTTTCGGGGATTTGGTGGTTGTTTTGGGGTTTGAGAGTGGCCGGGGTTTTGAAATTTCATGGTGGTTGGGGTTTTGGTTGGGATGACGACACCCAGTAGGTGGTGCACGTGAGAGCAGCGGCGAGCTCACGAGCGTTGGATTGGACAAGGAAGCGACGGCGACGTCTTGGAGACAGTGGTGGAGTTCACGGAGAGCGGGATTAGGTGGTGGAGTTCACGGAGAGCAGGGTTTTTGCGGGAGTGGGGGAGTTTTTAGGGGGAGGGGATCTCCGGCGAGGGACGGGGGAGCTCCGGCAATGGGCGAGGGAGCTCCGACGAGGGACGGTGGAGGTGCGGCGATGGTAGCTGGGTGGTGGGGATAGGATAGGATGGTGGTGGCTGGTTTGGATGTGGTGGTGTTGTGGTGGTTAAGGAAAGGGAATGGAAAAACCTAGGGGGGTGGGGAATGAAGTTGGAAGAATTTGGGGTAATGGAGAGGGTAAAGGGAATGGAAAAAATGTCAAACAAACAACAAGAAAGGGAATCAGGACAATTGATTCCCATTCCCTTTGATTAATACCCCAACCAAACGGCCCCTAAAGACCAAACTTGTTGGGTAGTTAAATACATATTGCTTTAACGGTTCAAGTATATATAATACCTCGCAAAGAAATCTCATACCATAAACCAATAATAAAAATTCACCCAAGATAGAAAAAATAGCTTCGAATTATATTTGATTACTAATATTGATGAGATTACAAGCATCTACACCTTGCAGGCTCTCAAAACAGGTTTTAAATAAACTTACAACATTACTCAATATGCAAAATTATTATTTTCTCAAACAAATATTAAACTAATTTCATAATCTTACAAAACTCAATTGCACAAACATGCATGTCTTTAATTTCAACTCTTGTATATGTCGAGCTAAACATGCCAAGATAGGTAAAAAGTCTTAGGATTCCAAAGATTTTGGGGTGAAGTTCTTGAACTTTGATTCCATTTCATACCATGATTCCAAGCTAATCATGTCATTAAATTCAGAGAAAGTAACCATCTTGTCCAAGTCATCCCTAGTGGTACCCTTTTCCTTAAGAACCTTCATGATTCCAACCAAAGCTTTGGTTGTAGCATAGATTGTTGATAGTGAATGAGCAATCAAGTGGAATCCCATCTCCTTGAACTCTGCTGGTGTATGTAATGGGGTCTTTCCACCTTCAATCATGTTAGCGATTCTCAAACCTTTTGTACCCTTGACAACCTCGTTAAGCTCATCGATGTTTGCAGGTGCCTCAACGAAGGTTGCATCAGCTCCGGCCTATGTATAGACAAATTTAAATGTTATGACTTTTATGCATCTTATTATAATCATATAGTTAGCGCATATAATTACAAACATTTTTTGGAATAGATAGTACATAAGCCTTTATGATTGATTGAATTTCCTAATATGCCAAATAAATTCAAGTTAGTGGTTTGTTGATGAAAATAATATAAGACAAGAGCTTTTTATTGAGTTCATATTGAAGAATGTGTTTTGTTCATCAGGCGTATTTTAATTTGGTGTCGTGCTATTTAGTTTTCAGGATTGTACCTCTCTGTAAAGGTTGGCACGTCTAATTGCTTCTTGAAGACCGTGTGGTGCTCTAGCATCAGTTCTTGCTACCAAGAAGAAATCAGATTCACCAATAGCTTCTCTTGCTGCTGCAATTTTAAGTGCATGCTCTTCTGCAGGTACAACACTCTTACCACGCATATGACCTATAAAATAAGATAAACAAGAAGTAAATTATTAACGTTCGATATGGTCTACCATGTTAGCAATTAATGTAAAAGTACGGTGGAATATATTTTGCAAAAATATTGATAATGTAGTGCAAAGTACTTACCACACTTTTTTGGCCATACTTGATCCTGAAAAAATTGAAATACATGTGATCCAATCAGTAAATATTATTAAATTGTACAAACAACCCCCTTTTTTCTTTACTTGTGAAGTTGATTTCTTAGTCACATTCAATTTTAATTATTGTCCTACTGCTATACTAGTAGTATTAAAGTGATTCGTGAAAAACATTTTACCTCTAGGAAAACACCCTTAGCACCGGCTGCAATCAAGTCTTTGATGAATCTTTGCACATTGAGAGGGCCACCACCTCCGGTGTCTGTCATAAGGCAAGAAATTACACTTTTTATGAGTAAAGTACGTCTTTATAACAATGGGACATGCATGAAAAGGATCGTTTTAATTTCTTTACCTCCATCAACAACGACACACAAACTTGGAGCAGCAGCAGTCATTCTACGGACAACTCCTACAACTTCTGCGGTCCTGTATCACAAATTCGTATTAATTAGCTAGGCTCAAAAAGTCACAATAATACTCTAACCTCAACCTCAACCAACCCTCATGTATGGCCCCTCTTAAAAACAAAAAGATAAAGCAAAAAGATATGTTTCGAGTTGAGTCTTATTGAGTTAAAAACAAAACAATACCCCATCCTCAACACAAACAAGGAATTATTGTTGAACCTTAATCACATATTCAATTGATCAATTAAAGTTCAAAATACATGTACTTGTAGATAACGTTGTAAAGATCCAACAATTTTTAGAAGGACAAAATAAGCCTTTGAATATTCATGCCTCTTTACTCTAACTTTTAATTAAATAAAAACTAAATAAACATTATAATTACAGTAAAATTAACATTAATTATTCCGATCGACGCGTGATTTTATCATGCATTCCGAACTTAATACTATTTTAAGTAATATATTAATCCCTTATCTAACGCTCCGAGACGCTTGTTAACAAGATTCTTATTACATTGTCTTACAATAATGTATGGTACTTTTAATGCTATTCCCTACATTTCTTGAAAAAATAAAAATATATGGTATTTGATTTTCAATAATTAAAGATTAAGGATGGAATAATAACTTTTTTTTTTCAAAAAAAGGATGGAATTATAATTTTAAAAACTTGCTCGGTATGTTACTACTCTTTGCCTAATTTATTATTTTGTTTTATACTCTAGATTTGTTTCCTTTTTGTAGGGAGCTTTTCATTAAACTATCAATTTATTAATCCCTCCGTTTCATAATGTTAATCTCATATACTATTTTAGACGTTTCAAAAAGATCTACCCATATTGAATGTGTTCTATTTTTAACTTATTTTTTTTGGAATTAATTGGTTGTGGATTGATGACATAACTCTAAGTAAGAAAATCTCTACCTTGAATTATGCATTATAACTTATGCTTTTCCAAAAAAAATAAATTAAAAAACTTAAATAAGGTAAACTAATTATAAATTATTTTGTACTTTAATGTTAGATTCCAAATATTCTTCTTTTCTTATTTTATGCGATTGATTCCATTGGGGACTAACATTATGAAACGGAGGAAGTATTACATATACCACATATTTGTATCGAAGAAGTACACATTAAATTTCATTAAAAAAAATAAATTAGACGGCTCTAAATATAATAAGTAAATAAAAAAGACAAGTATATGTAGTTCGCCTCTCGGGGACAAAATCTAACTTTACAAACGACAAAAAAGGCAAAATAAAAAAAAAATAATTTGGCCGGCCATAATAATTCATGTACGAACACGAACTTTTTCACTACTACTAGTTCTACTACACATCGCAAATATAATCCCAACAAAATATTAAAAAAAAAACAGATGAACTTTTAAATATTATACTTTATAAATATTCCATTTCTGAAATACGAGTATATACTCTTATATTAATTATTTTCTGATTTTTTCAAGTCAAAATGCACAAGAACATTCCAACAAATAATACCAAAACATATTATGGAGTATAATGTGTATAATAAGTTAAAAGGTCAACCCTTATGTTATAATTTAGATGTAGTACCCGTAATATGTGGATCATAGAACTTACAAGCACACACTTTTAGATGTGTAATTAATTCTTATTTAAGACTATGATTGCAAAAATAACCGACGGTTGTCAACTTTCATGATGAAACTAATCAAAAACTCGCAAATTCTTGCTTAAATTGTGGCAACCTAGCTATGTCAAACGTCACTCGTTTTGTCCCACTTTAATAGATCACATATTAGAATTTTAACACATTATGAAGTACATAGATGTACAAAAATAAAGTGACAAGAGAGAAATATACGTACGTAAGCAAGCCAAAGTCAGGCAAGCCGAGGAGGGCAGCGGAAACACCAAAACCGGAGACAAAGCAAGCTTTGAAGCCGGTTTTGGCACAAATGGCGGCAGAGAAAGCGTCTTGGATACCCGGCATCAACACCGATCCTTCCTCCGCGATCAAACGATGCACGGTTGTCCTCCCCACGACTGCATTACCATTGGTCTCAGGAAGAGAACCCATTTTTTTTCTTCTAAGATTTAGTGGGGAAGGAAGGAGGATAGGAGAAGATGACTTGGGGAACTTTTTTTTTTTTTTTTTTTAATTATTTATGTTTGAGTTGAATAAGTTAGCTTTGATCGTAGTTCTATTTATAGTAGTAAGTAGTGCAGTAAGACTAGGTAATAATGAGTTGTACAAACAAAAGATGCAAAATGTAGGTGGGAAATTTCGTGGATTTAATTTATTTTATGCGAAGGAAAAATTTTTGGAATTTTTTTTTCTTTTTAAGTATATTAAATATTAGAATTATATTGGGAAATTTCGTGGTTTGGATTATTTTAGTTTAAATTTGAAGAAATATAGGGGGTCCCTCCACGTGAGAAAATGCATGGTTGTAGTATTTGGTCACGACTAAAGGTTAAGGGGAGCATAACACCAATCAAACTACATCGAAGTCACATGATCTAGTGATAATCTCACATGATGTCTCAAAAGTGGCTTAATTTTTGCAAGATTAATATTATTTTACTCCAAAGATTGGATGCTTCCTTTGTTTATTTATTGCCATTGTTTTGACAAAGATTTAAAATTGAAAGTTTTTGAGTATGGATGTTTGTGGTCGGAACAAAAAACTGTTTTAGGGAGATTCCTTGTATTATAAAGTGTATTTGTTTTAAGTCTTAGGATTGAAGATCGGATCAGTTATACTATGAGACTCTACGCTACTTATTAGAAAACTAGTCATTCAGATCGTGTATTGTTTTATATGTATGTAGTGATTATTTAATTATAACGGAAATCAATCTCATTAATAATTTTGGCTAGATTAATTTCTGATATAAGAATTTGCTTTTTTACTGCCAACAATGAAATTCGATTGGCAATGTAATATGAATGACTGACCATGGTCTTTTGTTATACGGTTGAGCTGTATATCAAAATCACAGACAGTTTGGTGATTGCGTATGTAAGTACAATGAAATTACCGACTATGTAGGTAATTATGAAATTACCAACTACTAGCCGTGTTAGAAAACTTATGTAATACTTCGTAACTAAGATTTATTTACATGAATTATTCTAAGCCTATGAAGAGAACATATGAAACGTATTCCTTAACACACCCACACATAGGAGGTCATACAATAAAACTCGATCTTGAATAAAAAAATAAGTCTCTTGGTAGACCTTTTGTGAATAGATCTCAAAGTAGAACCTAGTACAACCAAGAAGAACCCGAATATGATCAATCCAAGCTACCTTTTTCTTGAGTGGATTGAAATGTATAACTGGCTCACAATGTTTGATGCATTATATTGGCGTTGAACTAAGTTGCTAAAAAGATAAAGTGCTCCAATATTATCACAATATACTTTATGTTCATGTATAGAGGGCAGGCAATGTAGCTCAGTTACGAGATAACAAAGCCAACATGCCTCAAAATCAACAATCACGACGCTTTAACATTTTAATTTGTTTTTGTACTCAACCTCAACAATCTAGTCCGGCACTTGTTGATGACAAGGAGTTGAAATGAAGTCATTTCCTAGTAAACAACAATATCCAGAAGTCGAACGTTAGGTGTTTAGTTTCCACCCCAATTGCATTAATGTATAGGTGATCAAACATGTAGGAGCGCTAAGCGCACAACAGAATACAGATATAACTCATCACCAATGGTGTTTTGAATGTAACACATATGCGCTAGACATGAGACATCGGTTGAGTTGATCCTTTAACATGGTATTGGAGACAATGTGACATAAAGGTCACAGGTTCAAATCTCATCCACCCTCAATTTCAAAGTGGAATATTAAACGCTGGGTATGAAAAGGACCCATGCTACAACCACACTTCAAGCCCAACAGACTCTTGTGTGAGGGGGTGTGATAAAGTATAAAACATAATCATGGGCCCCAACCATCAATTTAAGATTTTGGTTGAGTTGGTCCTTTAACAGGGAACAACTCGATTGGGTAGTCTACGGACTGGCTTTGGGGAGCATCAAGACCTTATGCTTCCCTCTCACTTTTAGATAAGTGTCGATCTAACCCATAAATACTGAAGTAAAAAAAACAATACTAGAGTTAAGGTTTGATCAGGATCATTAGCTTGTAGTGTCCTTGTGGTTAAAAGAAGCCATAAAACTTTATTATAGTTACATTAATATTATGTCTACAATGAGTCCATGACGCATTGCCAATAATGCCAACTGTTTATTCATTGCTAATGTGGGGGTGTATTATTTAATCCATAATAATTATGAGTGCGCAAACTAATATTCCATTCGATCTGAACTGGATTATTTTTGACGATCTAAGATTGGAAAAGATAGCGGGATCATGGCTTATTTTATGGCTTCATCATGTTTTGTAGATTAAAAAAAAGCTACAATTAGCAATCGAAACATGCATGTCATGTAAGTTGATTACTCAATAGGTACTTAATTAAAGCCATAAAAGTAGGAAATAGTTGCCGCCATAATTGCCTTAAAAAAGTTATGGCTGCTCAAACTCATAATTCGGTGATTGTACTAGTTAACATCGAATATTTGATCATCACTCATTAATTAGTTTTAAAATTGTTGTTGACAAGTTGACGAATACAAGCATTTATACATATTGAATTGTTAAATCTCGATGCATACATCTATTTAATGTAAAGAAACGCAATCACGTCACTTGAGCCAACAACTACCATCCCATTTCAAATTAAGGGACTTATGAATAGGGATGTGATAAACGAGCCTGGGCCACATCCGTCACGATTGTCCATTTTATACGACCATGGAGCTTCTACCTCAAAATCATATGGCAATGACGGAAGTAACTCCTTGGCCTTATAAAGTGGACACAACTTCTTCTCTTCTTCAATGTGGGATACACATCTCAATACTCACTTTACTTTTTACACTCTTTTAATGTGGGATAACACTTTTACTCGCATGTGGATTTATTTATGGGCTCAATAGGGTAGCAATCACTTAATTTGGATTAGATTGGGTCAATTTCAGTAGGGTTATTTTCTAATAAGATTCACCTGGGTAATTTTGAGTTTGAATTGTGTCATATTCACTTCTTTTATCTGGAAATATGCTTGTTTTAATAAAATAATCATTATAAGAAATTAAATATTGACTATTAGGTTAGCTTAGTTCAGATCGGATTAGATTGTATATATCAAGTGATTTCGGGTTTAGGATCGGATAATCGAGTATGGATCAGTTTGCCAAATTTTATTTACAAGCGAGACTTCCAATCACCTTAGTATACAATGGATCGGATTCCATTGTGTTTTTATTAAAAGTGAGATTTCCGACGTTCGGCATCGATCATTTATATATGTCAACCCGTGCACCACAACACCATAATCGGTGTGCTCCCGGTTAATGGAATGATGCTCTATATGCACCCAAGCTGTGATTAGTGTCGTTGAAGTCATCTTTTCCTTGTAATAATAAGCTACACAAATTAGAAATTACCATTCACAAAAGGGGAGTGGATTTTCAACTTTTGCATGGGCCGGGGCACAATGACAAGATCAAATCTCAGTTGTAAATAATAATAATAATAATAATATTAATTTTGTTACATATTAATGTAACTTTGGAATTTTTATGTCTCACAAATAATACTCAAAAGTTGCAATAATATGTAACAAAGGTAATAGTAGTAGTAATAATAATAATCTATAAATTATACTAAAACAACAACCGCTGACATCATCACTAACCTCGAATGTACACATGTCACTCTCTCATGAAAATTTTTCCAGCCTAAATAAAAATAATAGCATCATGATTTTATTTTATTATTATTTTTTTTAAGGTTAAGGCCTTGTTTGACAATCTAGCTATTTAAATTAGCTTGTTTGATTGCCTGTTAGTATTGGCTGTTTGTAGTGGCTGTTTGACCATCTGTTGTATGTAAATATATTTGGTAAAATCAGTTGTTAGCTGTTGGTTGTAACTATGCAAAATGACTTTTAAAGGACATTATTATGTGTTCTTATTCATTTATTATGAGCATTATTAATTACTAATTTACTAGTTACTGATTTTTAATTATAAATTACTAATAACAAGTACTAACTATATATTAATAATTACTAATTATTAAATACTAACTACTAGTTATTAAGCACTCCCTCCGTTTTTTTTTTTTTTTTTTTTTTTTTTTTTTTTTTTTTTTTTAAGCTAGAGTTGAAAAATTCCACTATTCATAGGTCATCATTGACTTAATTTTTTTACCAATATATAATGTATAAATATGATCATATAATATGTTGTTGGATTTGTCATAATATCTACTTTTATAAATAATTTTTTTTTTTATAATTTTTACTAACCTCTAGTTAAAGATATTAATGATCAAAGTTGTGTCTCGGAAAATGTGTAAATCCAACTTAATCGTATAAAAAAAACAGAGGGAGTACTAATTACTAATTATTAACTACTGATTATTAATTTCCCTCAAAAAAAATTACTAATTATTAATTATATATTAATAATTACTAATTGTTAATCACGAACTATTAATTATTAATTACTAATTACTAACTATTAATATTTAAGTACTAATAATTACTAATTTACTAATTATTAATTATTAATTAGTAATTATTAACTACTAATTATTAATTACTAATTATTAACTACTAAGTATTGACTATTACTTACTAATTATTATTTGCTAATTATTAATCATTAACTATTAATTATTAATTACTAATAACTATCTATTAATTATTATTAAAGTCTTTGGTGTGTGTGTGTGTGTGTGTGTGTGTGTGTGTGTGTGTGTGTGTGTGTGTGTGTGTGTGTGTGTGTGTGTGTGTGTGTGTGTGTGTGTGTGTGTGTGTGTGTGTGTGTGTGTGTGTGTGTGTGTGTGTGTGTGTGTGTGTGTGTGTGGAGCCACAAGGGCGGATAATGAAAATCCTAGGATCACCTGGAATCAGAAAGGGAGCTCAAACCACTTGAGCTATTCCTCACTCTCTTTTACTCTGGTTTGTGATGTAAATGTTGCAACAATGGTGATGGATCATCAGAAGCTAGAAAATCATAATCATGAGATTGAAAACTAGAAATATTTGTAAAAGGAAATGTGTTTTCATCAAAAGTGACGTGGCGAGA